CTCCCGAGTGCTGGGATCACAGGCGTGCACCACCATGCCTGGCCCAGTTGTTTTTTTTTTTTTTTTTTTGAACTGGGAATTGAACTCATGAATTTGTGCTTGCCAGGCAGGCGCTTGTGCCACTGAGATATATTCCCAGTCCCCCCAGCCCACTTTTGATAAAGTGCATTTTCCTCTGGCTCACCCCCGCATATGTTCAGAACTTTCATATTGGTGACAAGTCCTATAGTTTACCTAAGTAATCCCCTATTATTGGACATTGAAGTTATTCTCAGTTTTTATTTCTGTGAATAAAGCTGTACTGAGCAAGAAGTGACCAATGTCAATTAACTGTATGACCTTGGATACAGCCTCTCTGGCTCTTTATTTCTTTATCTGTGAACCAAATGACAAGATCCTCCTGGGTGTTCCAAGACATAATAAGTAACCAACAGCTTCTGCTCCCAATCTTCCTGTTACAGAGTTCTCACCACCACATGAGCAGTGGATTCCCTGGACAGGTGTGATGGTCAATAAAGTATCCACTCATGTTGAGCCCAGACTCGTCTCCCTCCACTGCTGGCCTGGCTTTACTCTGAGTCCACACATCATAGCCCAGGCTGTATGCTCCGTAGCCTACAGGCTGGGGCTAGTGTAGAAGTAAAAACATTTCAAAGCCTTTCCTCCCTCCTTTCTTTTCTTGGTGCTTAGGAAGTGACAGCATTTTTTTTTTTTTTTTTTTTTGGTACCAGGAATCGAACTCAGGACCTTGTGCTTGCCAGGCAGGTGCTTGTGCTACTGAGCTATCCCCATCTTGGTGCTTATTAAGAACAGACCTTCTGCTAAGCATGTGGCTATGGTCATAGGAGATGTCAGTTGCAGGCTCAGGACAAATTCCAGGCTGCCTAAATCCCTGCTGTGGAAGGGATGCTAAGGCAGGTGGCCTTCCTCAAATGCACTGTGGTATTTTATGCCCCAGGCAGAGTCCTGGTAGCTTTGTGCAGAAATAGCCAGGGGTGGGGCCAGCTTCCAGTCTAGGGTTGGATGTGTACCCCTTCAGGTGTTTACTAGAGACAAACTTAAGCCATCTTTCTCTTTCCCATTTACCATTAAAATGAGTAGATTGAAATACACATTCAAATGTATAGGTTATTTTAAAAGGGTACTTGAGCAGTCAGGTCTGCCTGGGGCCTGTCTGCACCTCCCCAGTACTCAGTATGGTGCTTTGTTCTCATTCATTCATTCCGCTCATTCAAAA